CTCTCTCTCTCTCTCTCTCTCTCAAAAATAAATAAACATTAAAAAATTTAGAATAAGGTCACGATACCATCGTATTTATTACCTGAAACACTGGAAGCTGGAGGACAATGAAGTAACACTCTGGAAAACAGTGAGGAGGTTCCTCAAAAAATTAAAAATAGATCTACCCTATGACCCAGCAATAGCATGCTTAACTTTATAAGAAACTGTTAAACTCACTTCCATTGTAGTGGATGTAAAGTGTATCTCATGTAAAATGTATCTTATTATAGTTTTAATTTGCATTTTCTTACTGATTAATGATATAAACATCTTTTCACATATTTGTTATCCATACATCTTCTTTCAAGCGGCCACTTAAATATTTTGCTCAGTTATTGTTGGGTTATTTGTCCTCCTATCAAGCCATAGAAATTCTTTACATATTCTTCTTTTTTTAATTAAAAACATTTTTTAATGCTTATTTATTTTGAGAACAAAAGAGCACGTGAGAGCGAGAGCGAGAGCAAGCAGGGGAAGGTCAGAAAGAGAGGGAGACACAGATCCAAAGCAGGCTCCAGGCTCTGAACTGTCAACAAAGAGCCCAATGCAGGGCTCGAACTCACGGACAAAAGAGATCATGACCTGAACCAAAGTCAGACACTTAACCGAACAGAGCCACAGAGGAGCCCCAATTTCTTTACACATTCTAAACAAAAGCCCTCTGTCAGACAAATGTTTTGAATGTGTTTTCTCCCAGTCCGTTGTTTGCTTTTTCATTTTCATAACAGTACACTGAAAAGCAATATTTGTTTTAAATCAAAAAAGTCTAATTTGTTTTTTTCTTTTGCAATTTGGGGTTTTTGTGTCCTATTAAGAAAAACTCTGCCAAACCCAAGAACACTAAATTTTTCCCAAGTATTCTTCAGAAGTTTTATGGTTTTAATTCATATTAGGCCTATGATCTATTTTGAGTTAATTTTTATGTAAGGTGTGAGATAAGGGTATAGTTCATTTTTAAATATATGAAAATGCAACTGTCCAGAACCATTTGTTGAAATTACCCTTTCCTCATTGCTTGCATCCTAAAATTCAGATATCGTCTGCTCTGCCTTCCTTGCATAACTGTAGACAGCACTCCATGACATATATGAAAACGTGCTCTGTAAAGTGGAAAACTAATAGAAATCTAAGTCACTATCATTATTAGTTAGTTCTGAGTAGATCCTGACCCGAAGACAAGAAACAGAAAAAGTATTAGGCCATGACATGTGGTATGGCCCCACTCTTTTATTAGCCTTCAAAACGCCTTTTAACCTCAGAGCTATTCCCTCCTCTGTGAAGTAGAAATTATGATATCCAATGGTCTACTTCAGGAGGATTTCATAAAGATTATATAAGATTATGCATTTTAAAATGCTTTGCAAATTATAAAATGGTATACAAATGCAAGATATTTACTTTATACCTAAAAATCCCTGGGTACATAATAAGGCCCATTCCTGCTTTGCGTAGTAGTATAGGGCCATAAATATGACTGCACAAGCTGAAACTTTGCAAAAGATCTTAATAATCAACAGGACAAATTATGATTGTTCTATAACCTTTTCCAAGGCACTATTTCTTCTTAACTCTATTCTTGTTCTATTAGGATTTCATCCCAGTGTTACTACTTTTCCTTTCTTTGCTTCAATTCATCTTTGTTGACCAAGCAACTTTTGATAACCCATTTTTATAAAAGGTAACGTGGGCTTATCACTAAAAAATAAGGAGGCAACAAAACTATGCGCTTCGCTATCTGTGCATGAGCTGAGTAACAGGTACACAGTGACCAACTGCAGTAGTATTTTAAAAGAAGCAAAAAAAAAAAAAAAGACATGGTTAGTCACTGATCATGATGCACATCTGTTATTTACATAGTAATCTGCAGACTGAAGAGCTAGAAGTGAAGTTTGTACTTTATGCAATTACTCATAGTTAATATACTGTGATCACTGAAATTTGAATTGTGTTGTTGGGGGAATGGTGTTCTTCACTAAACACACTAACTGAAATTTGTGCATACTGGAGCCATGCAAAGTGAGGCTTGCATATACTTGCAGTGTGCCAAGATATGTGAGTCTCCCAATTAGTCTTCCCAGCATTTGAAGAGAGGAATAAATGAATTATTTTCCTGGCTTTCTTGATGTGATTCTTTTTGAACCTTCTCTATTACTTCAAAAAATGTGTGGTGAAGAAATCAAAGAAACCTTTGAGGAACCTGGGTGGCTCAGTCGACTGAGTGCCCAACTCTTGATTTTGGCTCAGATCATGATCCCAGGGTCCTGGGGTTGACCCCTACATTGGGCTCCACACTGAACATGGAACCTGCTTGAGATTCTCTCTCTCTGTCCCTCTGCCTCTCTGCCCCCCGTTCACATGCACGTGCATGTTCTCTCTCTAAAAGGAAAAAAAACTTTCTATGATTGTTACTTAAGGAGGCTTATTTGAGATTAAATTACACTGTAGTATAAGGCAGATAAATCAGTGGGCTTTAAAACAAAAGTTGACTGAATAACAACTGATTTTCTTTTAAGAGAAAATCAAAGGGTTTTACATGATTTTCCTTAGTTTTAGCCATTGAACTTTTGTTTTGTTTTGTTTTGTTTTGTTTTATTTCAGGAGTAAAATTTAGTGATTCATCACTTACATACAACAACACCTAGTACACATCACAACAAGTGCATGTCTTAATGCCCATCACCCATTTAACCCATCCCCCCAACCCAGCTCCCCTCCAGCAACCCTTGGTTTGTTCTCTAGAGTTAAGAGTCTCTTGTGGTTTGCCTCCCTTTTTGCTTTTATTTTATTTTTCCTTCCCTTCCCCTATATTCACCTATTTTGTTTCTTAAATTCCACATATGAGTGAAATCGTATGGTATTTGTCTTTAACTGACTTATTTTGCTTAGCATAGTACATTCTAGTTCCATCTATGTCACTGCAAATGGCAAGATTTCATTCTTTTTGATGGCTGAGTAATATTCCATTACATATGTGCACCACATCCCCTTATCCAATCATCAGTTGATGAATATTTGGACTCTTTCCATACTTTGGCTATTGTTGATAGTGCTGCTATAAACATGGGGGTGCATGTGCCCCTTCGAATCAGTAGTTTTGTATCCTTTGAATAAATACCTAGTTGTGTAATTGCTGGTGCTATTTTTAACTTTTTGAAGAAATTCCATACTGTTTTCCTAATCACTGAACTTTTTGTATCTTCACATCTTTTTTCTCTTTAGTTGTCACTCTTCTTGTACCCAGAGTAAAGAGTTCAAGCCAGACCAAATGTCAAACGTACCCCATATCCTAAAACAAGCTTCTTGTAATCCTCATTTTAAAGTCTTGTTTGCATTTGGTTCCTTGAGGGCTAACTGCACATGTAGGTGTAGGAATTACATAACTGGAACCTCTGACTTCTCAGACTAGCACCAAATTGTTGGTATTATCTCTTAAACATTACCCCGATTTCAGGAATATTCATCAATGTACTTCTGCACACTCTCCCCACAGAAGATAGCAGAATTAATATTTTAACTATCTGGGAAGGTACTCATTAGTCTATAATAATAAAGCTATTTTAGATCTGAATGAACCAACTAAACATAAAGGTATTTATCTAATTATGGCAGTCACTATTCTACCCTAATTTCTATGATAACCACCTCAAGTCTAGTGGGAGAAACAGGAGCATAAATAGATAAATAAAATATAATTTGGTAAATTGGGGAGGTCAGTCACAAGATGGTATGAGACTATTAGAGAAACACCAAACCTAGCTTTGAGGAACACAAGGAAGGTCGGGCTGAGCTAGCTCTGAAAAACAGTAGGAATTACCTCAGAAAAGAAAGGAGGATGGATGGTTCTTGCAAGGACCACAGGTTCATAGGCCTGGAGACAAAGAAAGAGAATGAATTCCAGAAACCAAAAGAGGTTCTGTCAGAGAGCTGTGGCAACAGAGGTGGAATAGATGCCATGATGCTAAAGAGCTTTACCATGACAGTAACAGGGAGCCAAAGAAGAGCTTGGAAGGGATTTGTGTTTTAGGAAAGTCATTTCAGTAGCTGCTGTGAGTAGATGGGCATGGAAGCAGTGAAGAAGACAGACCAGCCGAGAGATGAAATCGGCTCAATCCAAGCAGTGGTTAGAACTGAGACATGGGGGAAGATTCTGGGGGTATTAAGGAAGTAGAATTAAAAGGGCTTTGTGACCACTTTTGAATATTGCGCGTGACTCAAAGTTTTCTAGTGTGGACAGCTGGGTGATTACAGTAAATAAGATACAGGAGGAAGGAGAAAGCTCAAGATGGAGGAAGAAAAATGGTAAAGTAACACGAAAAATATTTTACTTTGAAAGGAATGTGAGGCATAGAATGAGATTTCCTGCCTAAAATTAAAAATGTCTTGTATTTTGTTTCTACTCTTTGGATGGCCTGAGACAGATAAATCCTGTGAGCAACTGGGTGGGAAGGAGAGGGGCACTAGCTTCACCCAGTACAGGGAAGCAATGTGGAGGGCCCTTAGAGAAAATCAAAGAGCAACCTCCTATTGCAGGGTAGATTGGCAGTTTTATTGTCCAACGCAGAGGATATAAATAGCTCCACTGTATCCGTGTGTCTAAACAAAATGGCCAAGGAAAGTGGTTAGGTCTTGGGGTACCAAAAGTAAGAGGTGTCTCAGACTACTAGACTTTATATTTTGGATATAGTTCATGGCCTGACAAGTAGCATATGCATAAGAAGAAGGTTTAAAGACTTCTGTAAATAACCCTATGTTAGTTGCTGGAAGAAGTACCTGGAATAGAAGACTTGAACTTGACCATGTTCTAGCATATTTAAGAATATGCCCAGGCTACCCACTAGCTAGCTACCAGAGCTCTTTGTCATGATCACAGGTCAAAATGCCTAATACTGAAAGCCATACAACCCACTTTTTATCTTTCCCGCAATGTAAACAGGAAAATAAAACCATTTTTAGCTTACATGGAAGAACATCTCGATATCTGTTTTTGTCTCTGTTGCGTAGATCATTCCCAGAGTTGAACTCACCAGGTAGGTTCTGAAAATCTAAAGTCTTTAAAAGGTAAGAAATATAAGTCACATATTTACTACGACAAAAAGAAACAAGAAAAAAAATCTGCCTTTGCTTAGTGTTCATGATCCTTAAACCTCTATATGGCATGACCCAATGTTAAATGTGTTGTATGATAAGTGAAGTCAAAACCGCATTAAAAAATACTACAGAAAGGGGCACTTGGGTGGCTCAGTTGGTTAAGTGTCTGACTTTGGCTCAGGTCATGATCTTGTGGTTCGTGAGTTTGAGCCCCACATCGGGCTCTGTGCTGACAGCTCAGAGCCTGGAGCCTGTTTTGGATTCTGTGTCTCTCCCTCTCTCTCTGCCCCTCCTCTACTCATGCTCTGTCTCCCTCTCTCAAAAACAAATAAACATTAAAAAAAATACTATAGAAAATACCTCAAATTTGAGATGTCAATCAACAAGTTGTTTGATAAGAAAGTGCTAATCTCTCTAAAGATGCTTTTTTCCCTTAAACTTCAATATTTTTCCTTTTTCATAAAAAAGCCAATACAGAACATTCCCTTCTTGGACTTACCCATAAATCTATTATTTTATAAGCAAACAAATAAAAATAACAACAAAAAATATATATATAAACATAAACCAAAAAAAATACAAGCAGACTCACAATTTACTCCTTGGCCCATGAAGGAATTATCAGGTATCAATTAAGGAATTCTCCCTTCCAAAAAAATTTCATTACCAAGTGTGAATTCAGTAAACACTGATTGAACATTTAATACATACTCAGCACTTTTCTAGATACTGGAATACAAAAATGAACCTGAAAATTTTCCCATCCTTAAGGAGCTATCAGAGCAGTCAGAGGGGGACCTAGGAGATCAATGTACAGAGATGCTAGTATGATGGTAGCACTGATGACTGTCATCAAAAGTTAGTCATATGACAGTATGTGTGTGTGCGGAAGGCAAGGAGAGCGGAGGTGAGCAGGTACCACTCCAGGTAAAAGGACAGGAATAAAGGCACGGGGGCATACATCTCCTCTTGGGGAAATAGTGAATAGGATGAGAACAAGAGAACAGAGAACATGATCTAGCCCAGAGGGAAACGAAAACTACCCAGGAAGGCCTTGTTTCATATACAAAAGAAGCAGAGATGTATCCAGTCCTAGTCTATGAGAATATTTGTGGATAAAGCCTGTGAGTCTATACTTTTCAAAAGCTCTTCAGTAACCCTTCGGTAGCCAACCTGGCACCACCAGTCTTTAAATAAGTGCTGGCAACCACTGACATGGCCGATGAGAAGCTAGAGAAGGTGTTAAGCAGTAGGATAGTAAGATTTTTACCCTTTTAATTTTTATGCAAATTAATCCTAAAATTAATTTGGGAAAAAATATCTGTAGGAAGAACTAGAAGAATTTTGTAAAAGAAGAGTAAATGAGGGAAGACTAGTCTGAACAAATAGTAAAAGATCCCATGAAGCTACACTAATTAATAGAGTTTGGTAACAGCATATGAATAAACAAATCAATGGAAGAAGTCCAAGAATACATTAAAGTGTATATATCACTTCAGTATATAATAAAAGTGGCCTTTTACATCACTGAATAGAAGTTTCAAGAGGATCTTGGGACAAGAGGATAGATATATAATGTGGGGTCCCTAACAAATACCTTATAAAAAATTAAATTCTAGTTGGATCAAAGATTTATACATTTTAAAAAATTTATACATTTTAAAAGATATTAGTAAGAAACATGAAATAATTATGATCTTAGAGTGAAAGGGCATCTAAAGGATACAGAAAACCCTGAAGTCCCAAAAGATTGCCGTATTTGACCACTAAAAAATACCTCTCTTCTTACTAAATGTGTATGTGCATGTATGCACATGTATGTGTGGCACATACAACAAGGGAGGAAAGTTATCATATAAAGCACATACAAAAGAGACAATTTCTTCATTATATAAAGCTATCAATTGATAAGAAAAAGAATAAACATTAATTGAGCAAAGAATTGGAACTAACAGTTCACTAAAATAAATATAAAAGGCTTTAAAAAAATATGGAAAGTAATTCCTCTGTTCTCAAATAAGTGTCAATTAGATCATCAACAAGAAATCATTTGTCATGTAAGAGATAAGCAAAGATCCAAAAATTAAATAGCACAAAATACTGGTGGTCTTCCTAGTAATTTGTTCTAAAGAGTACTAATACAGGGGTGGCTCAGCCGGTTAGGTGTCCCACTTCAGCTCACGTCATGATATCATGATCTGTAGGTTCAAGCCCCACGTCGAGCTCTTTTCTCACAGCTCAGAGCCTGGAGCCTGCTTCAGATTCTGTGTCTCCCTCTCTCTTTGCCCCTCTCCCCCGTGCTGTCTCTCTCTCTTACTCTATCTCAAAAATAAATAAATATTTAAAAAATTAAAAGAAAAAACAACCAAAAAACAAAGAAAGATATACTCGTGATGGAGTCTTTCATTAAAAAAAAGGATACTCATACATATGTACAGGCATATGAAGGGGGGTAACTGCTGTTCATAGTAGCCTAGAACAATCTAAATGAGCATGATAGGGGACTATGTAAAGAAAAGAAGGCCTTTAGAGCTATACAACTAACTATACTATGCAACCCTTAAAAAGAATGAGATTTTAGGAGATAGAGCTATATGTACTGATAATATATTTGGAAATTATTTCTCAGGTGACACATTTTTTTTTAAGGAAGGAAAGGGTAATGGTGAATAAAGTACATGCTAATGCTTTTCTGGACATTTGGATGACAAAGTTAATAGTGGAAAGGGAGCCTAGGAAGTCAAGAGAGAAAAAAAAGATACTTTATCCATTTTTTAACCTTTCATGCTATTTAACCTCTTTTTTTAACTATATACACCTATTTCTTTAAAAACAAACTTAATATTTAAAAACAAAGTACTCAATTTAAAAAACACAGAAAAAAAAAAAAAAGAAAAAAACCCTCTAGTAGTAATGTGGAAAATCAGAGACTTTTGTTAAAACCAAAATATTTACCATAAATTCCTGGAGGATTTCAAATTCTGCTACTTTTTTCTCAAGCACATTAAAACAATCCTTGATGGTTAATTGCTCATGAAAACTGAATATTAATGGTCGAACATGAGCCAGCTGAGCTAGCTCCCTTTCAGAAACAATTTGTATACCTAAGAAAAAGAAAAATTCACATTTGTAAGTTACTTGTATGTATGTGAAGGGAGATTTTCTTTCTGTTGTTGCTTTTTCTTAAATAAAGGCACAGCCACCTATGGATTACTGGAAATTTGTGTTTCCAGAAGTGAAGAAACCTGTTACTTTGAAAGAAAGTATTCTTGGTTTGAAAAATCATGATTATGTACTTTGAAATTACACAAAACCCACTATTCTTGGAAAAACTGTTAAGTGCTATATAAATAAAAGATGCTATAGACTGAGAAGTGTTCTATTTAACAATGTGAATTGAGTATATGTATTGACAATTATGCACAGCAAGCATGTGCAAACAAGACTTGGATGGGAAAAAGTGAGAACTTTTGTCTTCCCTCAGACCAAGTATTTAACATCCCTGGAGTTTGAGAGGAGAGGATGTGGAGAGTCTAACACACTTCTCACTCTAAAATAGATCAAGGACACTCATGCACACACAGACATACAACACAAATACACCCCCCACAAGGATAGAGAGGCTCTATGTGATATCACTAATAAGACTAAAAAATATATATAATATATAACTTGCAATTATGTATTATATGCATATATATATACATTATATAGTTACACATTTATAACCAATAATAATAGAAGAGAATACATGCTATTCAATAGTACACATGGAGGGTTTTTTTTAACGATGATGTTTTATGTCATGTTGACAATCTAGATTCCAAACAGCCGAAATTTTACAGATCATGTCCACTGACCAAAATGCAATAAATCCAGAAGTCAGTATTAAAAGAATATTTTTAAAATTTCAGAATTTTGAAGTAAAATGCTCACGTGAAGCCAGTTCTCAAAATCTCTTTTCAAAGCCAAATAATATGAACAAAAATAAAGTTAACACCAGCAAATATATATATATATATATATATATATATGTGTATATATATATATATATATATATATATATATATGAAGCAATTCCACAAAAGAATGAGGATAAAAAGTAAAAAATTCTAAGAATGTGCACAGCCCTGTGAAACTCTTCTTGTCTTGGAACCCTATTTTAACCAAAAGCTCTTTGTAGGGGTGGAAGTGAGGGGCTGTTAGTTGGGAGAGATAGTCACAGAAATCCTAAAATTTCTCACAAATATCTCTAACCTGAATATGAGAGGAGATCTAGGAAGCCTAGAGGGGGAGCTAAAGTTCTGCAAGAGTAGAAGCCATTTTGATCATCGTTGATGCCCAACAGAAAAATATTTAGAGCTTCCCATGTATTCCAGCCTTGCTAGAACAAAAGCTGAGAGAAGGGAGAGAGGAAACGAAAGAAAAGGTAGAATGATTGTAATGGACACTGTTGCTGACTCTCCAACACTGGTTCTACCCTGATGGTTAGTTAAAGCCATAAGTGATCATTCCACAATGACTCCCTTGCCAGTGAATAATTCACAATATGTAGATGACTTGATCCAATGGGAAGCAAGAAGTATATTCAGGGCTTGCGGGCAAGGAAGAGAAGCAAGCCTCTCTCTCATCTCCATCCCTTGCCCAGATATAGATACAGACATATAAGACCCTGATTATTACAAGCAGCCCTACTGTGACATAAAAGGAGTGAGCTGAATACAGCAAATATCAAAAATATATACATAAAGAACCTATGCTCTTAATGACATCACTGAGAAACTGATCAAATTGAACCTGGAACACTTCCTACCTCTGCACTTCCATTATGGGAGAAAATATATTGCTGTGGTTAACATCATTTTGAATTTGGTTTCTTTTTATTGTGGCCTGGTCCAAGAATTCCAATCAAGGTGGACAGGTCAGGCTTCAGCTACAATAATGGCAATGGGATTTTTGCAGAGGGGCAGTTCTTTTCTAGCTATTTGGTTTGACATCATTGGACAGGTTTGAAGAACAGGTGCTTCCCCCTAACATGGTCCAAAAATAACACTGCAGAATGGTCTACCACAAAAACTGCTAGCTTTGCTGTAAGGAGGAATCTGAGGAAGCTGGACACTGCTGCTCGAACCACTAGCTCCTGGATGACACTACTATAGCAACCATGGAGGAATTAGAAAGTCAGCACCACAACTGTTGGTGCTAGTGATGTACCATTTCAGTCATAATGAGACACAAGGAATACCATGCGTGTTATGGTGCGTACCAGCAACTTGAGAGCTTCTCCACAGATTTAAGTCTTGGCTAAGTGCATACAACTGGTCAAACCCACATAACTTCAGGATTTCCGGGAAATGTAATTTTTAGTTTTCCTGCTTGGGCCATACAGAAAGACAAGTTAGGAGAAGGATGTGATCAAAGCTGAGTAAGCTAATCTATAATATCTTCTATACAACAATTCATCCACACCCTGTGAGTTTTCTGTTCCTTTTCCCCTAACCCTTCTGCACATTTGTCATTATCTGCTCAGGCAAAATCCAGCCCTCAAAGTGTAGTTTATAATGGAAGATAACTAATCAAATCAAATGGAATGAGAATCAACAAGAATTCATTCATGCTCAAACTGAAAAATCAAGGAGATGCGGAACTATACATGTTACTGAGCAAGATGGAAATAAAATGCAAGATGAAGAAAAAAAATGAGCAATGCAATATGGTAGGCAAAAAAATTTAATGCAACATAACTTATATTGTAGATCTATTATCTGTAGGAAGAAGTAATAGAATATAAATTATTTTAAATGAGTTTAAAAGTGAGATTTTAAAAAACAGAATGGCCTCTTTTTTTAATGTTTATTTATTTATTTTGAGAGACAGAGACGCGAGCAGGGAGGGACAGAGAGAGAAGGAGAGAGAGAATCCCAAGCAGGCTCAGCTATTCTCAGCACAGAGCCAGATGTGGGGCTCAATCTCACAAACTGTGAAATCATGACCTGAGCCAAAACCATGAGTCCAATCGATACTTAACCGACTGAGCCACCCAGATGCCCCCCAAAAAACAGAATGGCCTCTTATATTAGGTTCCTAAAGTAGTCAAATTCACAGTACAGAAAGTAGAATGGTGGTTGTCAGAGCCTGGGGGAGGGAGAATGGAGAGTTAAGTACTTAATGGGTACGGAGTTACAGTTGAGGAAGAGGAAAAAGTTCTAGAGATGGATAGTGGTATTGCTTGCACAACAGTAAGAATGTACTTAATACCACTGGACGGTACACAGAAAAATGGTGAAGATGATAAATTTTATGTTCTGTGTATTTTACCACAATTTTTAAAATACTACTGACAACCCAGATTCTTTGCATCACTTATAGTCTGTTATCCAGAGATCAGCTGCTATTATAAAGCTAGATTCTCCTCATGGTCACAAAAAGATGGTCAACAGCAATCAGAGCCATGTATTTTCTTGCTTACAACCTATTTATTTTCTTTTTAAAAAAAATTTTTAATGTTTATTTTTGAGAGAGAGGCAGAGCACAAGTAGGAGAGGGGAAGAGAGAGAGGGAGACACATAATCCAAAGCAGGCTTCAGGCTGCAAGCTGTCAGCCCAGAACCCGATGAGAGGTTCGAACTCATGAACTGCCAGATCGTGACCTGAGCAGAAGTTGGACACTTAACTGACTGAGCTACCCAGGCGCCCCACATACAAACTATTTCTTAAATGCAAGGACAAAGTTTCCCCAAGACATCCAACAAACCTTTACCTGAATTTCAGGCAGGCCAAGTGTCTGAAACATAGCTGGCAAAACAAAACTGGCAAAACCTAACTGGCATATCCTCAGATCATTCAGGTTCACACCCTGAGTTAAAAGCAATTTCTCAACCTGCCTTGCTGCAGCTCGATGGAAAAGAGATGAAATGAGTGCTGAAGAATCAGCTAGAGTGATCACTGGTGCCACTATACAACATTCACAGCAACCTCAACCCAAGTGCACAGACTAGGGTGCAAAAAAACCTTTGTGCAAAATTCAAGCCATCCTTCCAGCTCCTCCCTAGCTGTTCCCTACCGGTGCCAGCAAAACTCCCCTACATCTCAGTTCTGATGCCTCCCCAGGTCTTACCCTAGAGCCAGAGGGGAGGTCACACCTATGGGGCACAGAGGTTTAGATGGAGAAAGCATCAGAAAAGAGGCCAGATTTACATTTTTAAAAAATTTTTTAATGTTTGTTTATTTTTGAGAGAGAGAGACAGAGCACAACTGGGAGAAGGGCAGAGAGTGAGGGAGACACAGAATCCAAAGTAGGCTCCAGGCTCTGAGCTGTCAATACAGGTCCAATGCAGCGCTCAAACTCACAAATTGTGAGATCATGACCTGAGCCCAAGTCAGACGCTTAACCAGTGGAGCCAGCCAGGTGCCCTGCCACATCTACATTTGTATCAATATCACCTGGGAAGTGCCTTGAAAATAATGGAAAACAGTGTGGAGGTTCCTCAAAAAATTAAAAATAGATCTACCCTATGACCCAGCACTGCCAGGAATTTACCCAAGGGATACAGGAGTGCTGATGCATAGGGCACTTGTACCCCAATGTTTATAGCAGCACTTACAATAGCCAAACTATGAAAAGAGGCTAAATGTCCATCAACTGATGAATGGATAAAGAAATTGTGGTTTATACACATAATGGAATACTACGTGGCAATGAGAAAGAATGAAATATGGCCTTTTGTAGCAACATAGATGGAACTGGAGAGTGTTATGCTAAGTGAAATAAGTCCTACAGAGAAAGACAAATACCATATGTTTTCACTCTTATGTGGATCCTGAGAAACTTAACAGAAGACCATGGAGGAGGGGAAGGAAAAAAAAAAGTTAGAGAGGGAGGGAACCAAACCATAAGAGACTCTTAAAAACTGAGAATAAACTGAGGGTTTATGGGGTTGGGAGGGAGGGGAAAGTGGGTGACAGGCATTGAGGAGGGCACCTGTTGGGATGAGCACTGGGTGTTGTATGGAAACCAATCTGACAATAAATTTCACATGAAAGAAAGAAAGAAAGAAAGAAAATAGGGATTTCTGGATTCAACCCAACAAATGCTGAATCATAA